TGGGTGTTGAGTTTGATAAGTTCTTTATAGATTTTGGATACTAGCCCTTTATCTGATATGTCATTTGCAGATATCTTCTCCCATTCTGTTGGTTGCTTTTAGTTTTGTTGATTGTTTCCTTTGCTGTGCCAAAGCTTTTTATCTTGATGAGGTCCCAATAGTTCATTTTTGCCCTTGCTTCCCTTGCTTTTGGTGATGTTTCTAGCAGGGTCTTGTTTTTTTTAAGTAGGCTCCACACCCAGCATGGAACCCCATGTGGGGCCTGGACTCAACGACCCTGAGATCAAGACCTGAGCTAAGATCAAGAGTTGGACACTCAACTGAATGAGCCACCCAGGCACCCCGGGTCTTGTTTTATTTATCCACTCTGTCACCCTTTGCCTTTGATTGGAGTGTTTAGTCCATTTACATTCAAAGTAATTATCTGTAGATATGTATTTATTGCCATTTTGTTACTTGTTTTGTGTTTTTTTTCTATAGATTTTCTTTGATTCTTTCTTCTCTTGCTCTCTTTCATGGTTTGTTGGCTTTATTTAGTGATATACTTGGATTCCTTTCCTTCATTTTTTGCGTCTCTATTACTGGTTTTTGATTTGTGTTTGCCATTAGGTTTGTATATAATATCTTCTGCATATAACAGTCTATATTATGTAGATGGTTGCTTAAGTTTAAGCTCATTCTTTACTGCTCTTCCTCCCATGTTTTAGGTATATGGTGTCACATTTTATATCCTTTTGTTTTATGAATCCTTGACTGATTTTTATAGAAATATTTATTTTTATTGCTTTTGTGTTTCTTACTTTTCATACTCTCACTTATGGTTTTCCTTTGTACCCAGAGTCCCCTTTAATATTTGTTGAAGGGCTGGTTAGTGGTCATGAATATTTTCATATAAACCTGCATATTTTCCCCATTCAGCACTTTGAATATATCGTAACACTCCCTTCGGGCTTGGAAAGTTTCTCCTGAAAAATCCACTGATAAGCTTATGGGGATTCCCTTTTTTTTAAGATTTTATTTATTTATTCATGGAAGACAGAGAGAGAGGGAGGCAGAGGCAGTTGAGAAGCAGGCTCCCCACAGATCAGGGAGCCTGACGTGGGACTCAATCCCAGGACCCTGGGATCAGGACCTGAGCGGAAGGCAGATGCTTAACTGACTGAGCCACCCAGGTGCCCCATGGGGATTCCCTTTTATGTAACTGTCTTCTCTTGCTGCTTTAAATTTTTTTCTTTATTGCTCTTTTTTGACCTTTTAATTACTATGTATCTTGGTGTGGACCTCATAGGGTTGAATTTGGTAGGGGGGTGGATCTCTGTGCCTCCTGGATCTTGATATGTGCTTCTTTCCCCAGATTGGTGAAATTTTCAGCTATTATTTCTTCAAATAAAATTTCTGCCCTCTTATCTCTCTCTCCTTCTTCTTAGATCCTAATAATGAAGATGATATTACGCTTGATGGAGTCAGTGAGTTCCCTAAGACCATTCTCAATTTGCATAATTTTCTTTCCTCTCCTTTGCTCAGCTTGGTTATTTTCCATTACTCTGTCTTCCAAGTCATTAATTTCATTCATTCCTCTGCTTCATCTTGCTTGCTATTTATTCCATCAAGTATATTTTTAATTTTAATTTTATTTATTGTGCATTTGATCTCTGATTGGTTCTTTTTTATCTCTGTGTTAAGGGTCTTACTGACAGGGCGCCTGGGTGGCTCAGTCGTTAAGCGTCTGCCTTCGCCTCAGGTCATGATCTCAGGGTGCTGGGATTGAGCCCCACATTGGGCGCCCTGCTCCACAGGAAGCCTGCTTCTCCCTCTCCCACTCCCCCTGCTTGTGTTCCCTCTCTTGCTGTGTCTCTCTCTGTCAAATAAGTAAATAAAATCTTTAAAAAAAAAAAGGGTCTTACGTCCTCCACTCTCTTCTCCATTCCAGTGAGTATCTTTATGATCATTACTTTAAATTCTCTATCAGGCATATTACTTGTATCTGTTTCGCTTTTGTCTCTTGCTGTGGTTTGGTCCTGTTCTTTCATTTGGGAGATGTTTCTTTATCTCTTCTTTTTGTCTGACTTTCTCTGTCTGTTTCTGTGTGTTAGGAAAGTCCACTAATTCTCTTGTTCTGAATGATAATAGCCTTAAAAAGAGGAGGTCCTGTAGTGCCCTGCAGAGTAGTGTCCCCTGGTTCCCAGGGCCTGGCGCTTCAGGGAGTTTCTCCTGTGTGTATTGCGTGTGCTCTGCTATTGAGTCTTGGCCTCTTTTTCCTTTAGTCCAGTTGTCTGTGGAGGCTCTCTTTACTTACTTTGGGCAGCAAGTTGTGCAGTGGTCTGCTTGCAAAATGAGACCTACCCCCACTGCTGCTGAAGCTAAGGTCCCACCATTGGAAGCTCCTTCAGGTTGGCATCTCTGTCCATTTGTCACTTCCCTAGAGTTCTTTGAGCATGGGCTTTTTACTTTCTGAGCCTGAGTATTTCCCAGTCTGTGGAAAGAAAGTAACATTGCCCATGTCAGAGCATTACTTTGAGGATTTAAGGAAAAAAAGTCTAAAAATAACAACCTCTACTGGGTGGCATTTAGTAGGCCCTCAAAATGCTAGTTGCCTGTTCCAACTTTGCCTCCTTAATTCTGTCAATGTGATGATGCCTCTGATATGAACATCATAGTATGACTACTAGTGACAATACTTGGACATGGAAGAGCAAGCAGGGATGAGGCCACGTTTCCATGATGTGAGAGCTTCAGTGTCACTTGTGTTTGTGGGAGGGGGCTGTGGGACGGAGCTGGGGAAGAGGCACAGTGTCATTGCACAATTTCCAGTGACCTAGGTGGGGACAGAGAAGTACATCTTCACCCTTTCTCCCTGTGTTTATGTTCTTTGCCATACTCTCTTTCCTCTCTATTCCATGTATTGTCTGATCCCCCTGTCTCCCTTCTAGGAGAACATCAGAGAAAGGTGTGGACTGTGAGCCCTCCAAATAGGAGCTGATAGAGAAGAACCAAGTATGATGTCCAGTGTCCTAGACAGTTTCCTGGAGCAATAATGAAGACATTGGATTCCCATCATTGGCAAATGTTAGGTAAGTCACTACCCTTCCACCAGCCTCATCTATACAATAGTAAAGTGGTACACAATTCCTTCCACTATGCAGGAATATTGTTGAGTTTAAGTGTGATTCCATGTGGGAAAGCAATCTGTGGTCATAGGTGGGAGGGAAGGACCAGTGCCCCCTTTGAGTAATTATGTTAATGGAGATGCCCCTCATATCACATAACTCTGCATGGTAGGCATTAAATTAAAGTTCCACAAATGTCGGATGTTTAGGTCAGGATTTTGCCAAATGTGGTTCATGGACCACTTCTTCAAAATCATCAAGGAGTGTTTGTGGAAACTGCAGATTCCTGGGCTCAGCCTAGGTCTCCTGTATCCCAAACAGGGAGGTAGGTGGGAAGGGTTTACATTTTGAATAAATTGGTTCAAGTAGTTGGTTCTGGCTCATTCCAATTTGAAAAGAACTCTAGATTTGCAACAAAGCGTTCCTAAAATTTTGAATCTTTGGCGTCTAATTTCTTTGTCAAATATCTGCATCTGCTCCTGTGTGTCAAATAGGTAATAATTCCTTCATTTAGGTCATGTTTTTAGTGATTTATATGTGAGGCCCTGAACTAGGTGCTGGGAACATAGCACAGAGAACAAGACACGCAGAGTCCCTGGAGCTTTCATTCAGCTTTGGGAAAACTGGCAGTACACAGTTAAATCATAAGTGGGTCAATTCCATATGGGCTTTAGGAAAATAAACACATAAATAGAATAGAAAATGATGGGCCAGGGATTACTTAGATTGGGCTGTCCATAAAGTTCTTTTTCAGGAAGTGACATTTGAGCTGAGTCCTGAAGGACAAGAGGCAACTTGGCCTAGGCTGCCCTTTTGATTTGTGATGTGTGTAGCATCAATTGTTCCAGGAGCAGATGATGAGCTTGAGTGGCTGGAGCCTGGCAGACAGAGTACAGATGGTAGGAAGTGAGGTCAAAAGGGTGGACGGAAGCCAATCTAGTGACTATAAGGAGAAGTAAAATATTCACAGACACTTTGTAAGTGGTAGAACTAGGATTTGGCCCTAATCTGTCTCCACAGGCCACATTCCTAACCACTATACTTAGGAAGAATTAAAAAACATGTATTGAGGGCTCCTGGGTGGCTCAGATGGTTAAGTGCCTGCCTTCCAGCTCAGGTCATGATCTCTCCGTCCTGGGATTGAGCCCTGTGTCGGGCTCCCTGCTCAGTGGGGAGTCTGCTTCTCCCTCTCCTCCTCTGTGCCCCCCCCCAACCGCTGCTCATGCTCTCAAATGAATAAATAAAATCTAAACAACAACAACAAAAAAACATGTGTTGAACTATGTCAGCCCACAATGGGTGATGTTAGGCCAGGGCCATATGGTGTTTTTTTTAAGTTTATTTATTTATTTTTTTTAAGTAATCTCTATACCCAATGTGGGACTCGAAACCATGACCCCGAGATCAAGAGTCACATGCTCTACCCACTGAGCCAGCCAGGTACCCCCAGGGCCATATCTTTTTGGGTGAAAGCTATGCTTCAGTATGCATTTTTTTTTAATATACAGAGGGTATTTATTTAAGAAAAATGAGAAGGTAATTATAAAAAACAAAAAATAATTATCACAGTTACTATGCATTAGACAACTTGTCTATTAAAATAATTCCTTGGACTTCCACTATGAATTCTTTTTATGAACTCAGAGTGCTCTTTAGATGAGAATGACATTATTTTGTGTCTGAGGCCTTGCCGGTTGGGTGGCAGATATGATTTGACCCCTTTTGACAGGTGAGGCAAGCAGAGGTGTGGTGATTTACCCAAGGTCACCTAGAGTTAGTGGGTTAGGTCTGGTGCAGGGCCAGGTATATTTCCTGTCTTATACTCAGTTTTCTGTCCATCAGACATGGTACTATATGTAGTGAACCACTTTTCAAGAGCTCAGAGGATATGTCCTTCTCTGAGGTTATTCTGAAGGTAATATAAGGGGACAGTAAATACCTTCAAATGAAAGAAAATGAGGTGTTGATTTTCCTCTTCTTTCTTAAACTCAGTTGGGAGATTAGAAGAAAAAATTTCTGGAATCATACAGTATGTACTCTTTTGTGTCTGGCTCCTTCAAATCAACATAATATGTGTGTGTTTGTACGTGTGTGTGTGTGTGTGTGTGAGTTTGTGATTTACATCATCATTGTCTGTGGTTGCAGATCATTCTCATTGGTGTGTAGTATTACATTGTAGGTATTCTAATATATATATCTGTTATGGGGATTTGGGTATTTTCTAGTTTTTTACTTAATAATGTTGCTATGAATGTTCATACTTGTACCTACCTTTTGGATGGATACTTATTTTCCTTTCAGGCATTTCTGAGTCATAGTGTGTGTGTATGCTGAGCTCAGTACTGCCAAACACTTTTTCAAAGTGGTTGTTTCAGGCTATATTCCCAATCTCACCATACTTGGTATCTTCCATCTTTTCCATTTTTGTCATTTAGGTAAGCATGTGGTAGTATCTCATTGTGGTTTTAATCTTAATTCTCTGATGTCTTCAGTGGCTTTTAATGTAACGAAGGTCCCCTTCCTCTTCTTTTTTTTTTTTTAACCTTCCAATTATCTGCTTAAGAAATTGCATCTTTTGTTTTGTGGAGTTTTCATTCTAGATTGTGTTGATTGTATCCCTGTTGTGTTGTTTATGTATTTTTGTCCCTTCTACCCTATTTCCTTTAAATCGAGTAGATTTAGGGACTTGATCTAATTCATATTTTTGGCAACAGTACCTCAGATGTGGTATTATACTTCTCATAACATTACACCAAGAGACTCATTGTGTCTAATGGTCTCTCTTATGGCACTAAGATTGATCACTGAGATCAGGTGTTATTAGCCTGATCTATCCATTACAAAATTTTTCATCTGCTTTTCACCTCATATTTTTTGCAGCCTTGAAGATCATTGCCTAGATCTGCATTTCATTAAATGTTGTAAAAGGGTGATGTTCTAATTCTATAATTTCTTCTGCATTTTATTAGCTGGAATTCTTCTATAAGAGGAACTTACCCTTCATCAACAATTACACTATGCTGAGGTACGGTTTGCACAGGAAGGGAAGGAGGAATGTTTAATTCCTTTGCAATATTTCCACCTTTCAAAATAATGAGTTTCCCTAGGATTCTTCAAAGGTGAGAAATGAGTTGGTTTTATTTGTGTTTTGCTTACCTTTTTTTTTTTTTAAGATGTATTTATTTATTTTAGAGAGAGAGAGCGGTGGGAGGGGCAGAAGGAGAGGGAGAGAGAGAATCTCAAGCAGACTCCCCATTGAGGACAGGGCCTGATGCAGGGCTCTATCCCAGGACCCTGAGATATGACCTGAGCTGAAATCAAGAGTCAGCTGCTTAACCAGCTGTTGCTTTCCTTTTAGAATGTCATCATGACTCATAGATGTTTGTATATTTGATGTATACTAACTAGTCCATTGTAGTCCTTATTTTACTTGGCATCAAATTGTTCTATCTGGCCTGTGGGAGACACTTCAAATTGGCTTCTGAGTCATTTTGACATGTTTTCTTGTAGGAGAGTTTGGTCCAGACACATCTGGTACAATTTCTTCTGTGGAGCTAGAATCAGTCATTTCTCTAGAGGAGTCTGGACCCTTTTAGTGGGAAATGTGTTTAGAGTGTTTAATCTGGGTGCTAGAATCATGCATTGCTATTTGATTGGTCATTGTTTCTTGCCATTTTTACATGAAGTCAGTAAATATAATATTTTGAAGAGGATATACTTCATTAGCTTCCATCCTGGGCTGCTTCCCATTTCCATTTAGGTTTTTATCATTTTTTTAACTTTCCAGTTTTTAAAATATAAGCAAATATAACGTGTATTTTTTTCTCCCACTTCATAGGTAAAACGTGGCATGTTCTACACAAGTAAAGTCCAATAGAAATTTCTGTGGAAATGAAAAAATATTCTGTGTCTACATTTTCCAGTAAAGTAGCCGTTAGATACCTTTTGAACACCTGAAACCTGGTGAGTGTGAATGAGGTCAATTTTAATTTCATTTAAATTAAATTTAAATAGCCACGTGTGGCTGGTGCCTACTGTATTGGACAACAGTGTCTCTATACATTTTTCTGACCTTCCTTTTTTAAAAAAAATTTTTAATTTAAATTCAGTTTAATTAACATACAGTGTATTATTAGTTTTAGAGGTAGAATTTAGTGATTCATCAGTTCCATATAATACCCAGTGCTCACTACCTCAAGTGCCCTCCTTAATGCCTGTCACCCAGTTACGCCATCCTCCCAACCACCTCCCCTCCAGCAACCATCAGTTTGTTACCTATAGTTAAGAATCTCTTATGGTTTGCCTCCTTCTCTGTTTATATCTTAATTTATTTTTCCTTCCCTTCCCCTATGTACATCTGTTTTGTTTCTTAAATTCCACATAAGAGTAAAATTATATGATATTTGTCTTTCACTCACTGACTTATTTCACTTAGCATAATACCCTCTAGTTGCATTCAAGTTGTTGCAAATGGCAAGATTTCATTCTTTTTGATGGCTGAGTAATATTCTACTGTATATATATATACCACTTCTTCTTTATCCATTCATCAGTCCATAGACATCTGGCCTCTGTCCATTCTTAGCTATTGTGGACGTTGCTCCTATAAACATTGGGGTGCATGTACACCTTTGAATCACTACGTTGGTATCCTTTGGATAAATACCTAGTGGTGCAATTGCTGGGTCATGGGGTAATTCTATTAACTTTGTGAGGAACCTCCATACTGTTTTCCAGACTGGCTGCACCAGTTTGCATTCCCACCAACAGTGTAAGAGGGTCCCCTTTCTCCACATCCTTGCCAACATCTGTTATTTCCTGTGTTGTTAATTTTAGCCATTCTCACTGGTGTGATGTATCTCATTGTGGTTTTGATTTGTATTTCCATGATGCCAAGTCGTGTTGAGCATTTTTTCGTGTGTCTGTTGGCCATTTGTATGTCTTCTTTGGAGAAATATCTGTTCGTGCTGTCTGCTCATTTCTTAACTGCATTTCTTGTTTTCTTGGGTGTTGAGTTTGATAAGTTCTTTACAGATTTTGGATACTAGCCCTTTATCTGATAAGACATTTGCAAATATCTTCTCCCATTCTGTAGGTTGCCTTTTAGTTTTGTCGACTGTTTCCTTTGCTGTACAAAAGCTTTTTATCTTGGTGAAGTCCCAGTAGTTCATTTTTGCTTTTGTTTCCCTTGCCTTTGGAGATGTGTCTAGCAAGAAGTTGCAGTGGCCGAGGTCAGAGAGGTTGCTGTGGCCGAGGTCAGAGAGGTTGCTATCCTGTGTTCTCCTATAGGATTTTGGTGGATTCCTGTCTCACATCGAGGTCTATCATCCATTTTGAGTTTATTTTTGTGTGTAAGAAAGTGGTCCAGTTTCATTCTTCTGCGTGGCTGTCCAATTTTCCCAGCACCATTTGTTGAAGAGACTGTCTTTTTTCCATTGGGTATTCTTTATTTTTTTTTTTAAGATTTCATTTATTTACTAGAGAGAGTGAGCATGAGCAGGGGGAGGGGCAGAGGAAGAAGCAGACTCTCCCTGAGCAGGGAGCCCAAAATGGGGCTCGATCCCAGGACCCTGGGATCATGACCTGAGCCAAAGGCAGACGCTTTAACTGACTGAGCCACCCAGGCACCTCTCCATTGGGTATTCCTTCCTTCTTTGTTGAAGATTAGTTGACCATAGAGTTTAGGGTCCATTTCTGGGTTCTCTATTCTGTTCCACTGATCTGTGTGTCTGTTTTTGTGCCAGTACCATACTGTCTTGATGATTACAGCTTTGTAATACAGCTTGAAGTCTGGAATTGTGATGCCTCCAGCTTTGGTTTCGTTTTTCAACATTCCTTTGGCTGTTTGGGGTCTTTTCTGGTTCCATATAAATTTTAGGATTATTTGTTCCAGCTCTGTGAAAAATGTTGGTGGTATGTTGATAGGGATTACACTGAATGTGTAGATTGCTTTGGGTAGCGTAGACATTTTTACAATATTTGTTCCGCTAATCCATGAGCATGGGATGTTTTTCTATTTCTTTGCATCTTCCTCAATTTCTTTCATAAGTGTTCTATACTTTTCAGAGTACAGATCCTTTACTTCTTGGGTCAGGTTTATTCCTAGGTATCTTATGGTTTTTGGTGCAATTGTAAATGGGATAGATTCCTTAATTTCTCTTTCTTCTGTCTCATTGTTAGTGTATAGAAATGCAACTGACATCTGTGCATTGAATTTATATCCTGCCAACTTGCTGAATTCCTGTATGACTTCTAGCAATTTTTTGGTGGAGTCTTTCAGGTTTTCTACATAGAGCATCATTTCATATGCAAAGAAGGAAAGTTTGACTTCTTTGCCGATTTGGATGCCTTTATTTTTTTGTTGTTGTTGTCGGATTGCTGAGGCTACGACGACTTCTAGTACTATGTTGAGCAACAGTGGGGAGAGTGGACATCCCTGCCGTATTCCTGACCTTAGGGGAAAAGCTCTCAGTTTTTCCCCCATTGAGGATGATATTTACTGTGGGTCTTTCGTATATGGCTTTATGATATTGAGGTATGTTCCCTCTATCCCTACACTGTGAAGAGTTTTAATCAAGAAGGTATGCTGTACTTTGTCAGATGCTTTATTTTGCATTTATTGAGAGGATCATATGGTTCTTGTCCTTTCTCTTATTTATGTAGTGTATTGCATTGATTTTCAAATGTTGAGCCAACCTTGCAGCCCAGGAATAAATCCCACTTGGTTGTGGTGAATAATCCTTTTAATGTACTGTGGGATCATATTAGCTAGTATCTTGGTGAGAATTTTTGCATCCGTGTTCATCAGGGATATTGGTCTGTAATTCTCCTTTTTGGTGGGGTTTTTGTCTGGTTTTGGGATCATTAAGCCTGGCCTCATAGAATGAGTTTGGAAGTTTTCCTTCCAGTTCTATTTTTTGATACAGCTTCAGAAGACTAGGTTTTAGTTTTTCTTTAAATGTTTGGTAGAATTCTGCTGGGAGGCCATCTGGTACTGGACTCCTGTTTGTTGGGAGATTTTTCATTACTGGTTCAATTTCTTTGCTGGTTATGGGTCTGTTCCGGTGTTCTCTTTCTTCCTGTTTCAGTTTTGGTAGTTTATATGTTTCTAGGAATGCATCCATTTCTTCTAGATTGCCTAATTTTTTGGCATATAATTGCTCATAATATTCACTTATAATTGTTTGTATTTTGGCAGTGTTGGTTGTGATCTGTCCTCTTTCAGTTATGATTTTATTTGGGTCCTTTCTCTTTTCTTTTTGATAAATCTGGCTAGGGGTTTATAAATCTTATTAATTCTTTCAAACAACCATCTCCTGGTTTCATTGATCTGTTCTACTGGGTTTTGTTTTTTTTTTTTGTTTTTGTTTATGTTTTCTGTATCATTGATTTTCTTAAAAAAAATTATTTGAGATAGAGTGAGAGAGGAAGTGAGAGAGCATGAACGGGGTAAGGGCAAGGGGAGAGAGAGAGGGAGAAGCAGACTCCCCACTGAGCAGGAAGCCTGATGCGGGGCTTGATCCCAGGACCCTGGGATCATGACCCGAGCTGAAAGCAGACTCCCAATTGACTGAGCCACCCAAGCGCCCCTGTATCATTGATTTCTGCTCTAATCTTTATTATTTCTCTTCTTCTGCTGGATTTAGGTGTTATTTGCTATTCTTTTTCCAGCTCCTTTACGTGTAGGTTTAGGTTGTGTATTTGAGACCTTTTTCTTTCTTGAGAAAAGCCTGTACTGCTATATACTTCCCTCTTAGGACCGCCTTTGCTGCATCCCAATGGTTCTGAACTGTCGAGTTTTCATTTTCATTTGTTTCCATGTATTTTTTAAATTCTTCTTTAATTTCCTGGTTGACCCATTCATTCTTTAGTAGGATGCTCGTTAACCTCCATGTATTTGTGTTCCTTCCATACTTTTTCTTGTGATTGAGTTCATGTTAAAGCACTGTGGTCTGAAAGTATGCCTGGTATAATCTCAGTCTTTTGGTACTGGTGAAGACCTGATTTGTGACCCAGTATGTGATCTGTTCTGGAGAATGTTCCATATACACTCAAAAAGAATGTATATTCTGTTGCTTTAGGATGAAATGCTCTGGATATAACTGTGAAGTCCATCTAGTCCAGTGTGTCATTCAAAGCCGTTGTTTCCTTGTTGATCTCCTGCTTAGATGATCTGTCTATTGCTGTGAGTGGGGTGTTGCTGTTCCCTACTATTATTGTATTATTATCAATGAGTTTCTTTAAGTTTGTTATTAATTGATTCATATGTTTGGTTGCTCCCAAGTTGGGGGCATAAATATTTACAATTGTTAGATCTTGTTGTTGGATAGACTCTTTTATTATGATATGGTGTCCTTCTTCATCTCTTATTACAGTCTTTGGTGTAACATCTAGTTTGTCTGTATAAGGATTGCTACTCCAGCTTTCTTTTGATGTCTATTAGCATGATAGTCTCCAACCCCTCACTTGCAGTCTGGAGGTGTCTTTGGCTCTAAAATGAGTCTCTTGGAGACAGCATATGGATGGGTCTTGTTTTTTTATCCAATCTGATACCCTGTGTCTTTTGATTGGAGCGTTTAGTCCATTTACATTCAGAGTAATTATTGAAAGATGAATTTAGTGCCATTGTATTACCTATAAAGTTGCTGTTCCTGTAGATTGTCTTTGTTCCTTTCTGGTCTTTGTTACTTTTGGGCTTTCTCTTCATTCAAAGGATCCCCTTTAATATTTCTTCCAGGGATGGATTAGTGCTCATGAATTCCTTTAGTCTTTGTTTGTCCTGGAAACTATCTCCTTCTATTCTGAATGACAGCCTTGCTGGATAGTATTCTTGGCTGCATATTTTTCCCATTAGCACATTGAATATATCATGCCAGTCCTTTCTGACCTGCCAGGACTCTGTGGATAGGTCTGCTGCCAGCCTTATGTTTCTACCTTTGTAGGTTAAGGACCTCTTGTCCCAA